TAGCAATCTGAACTGGCCTAGCGCAGTTAAGCAAGGATTGATCTGGGATCCATTTCATCTCTCCCTATTAGGAGAGGAACAAAATGCAAACTAGCTGAATGTTCTGAACATTCTTCATGGGCAGCTGTAGTAATTCCTTATAGTCATTCCTCATGGATAACAGTAGACAAAATTGCAGCATCACACTAGGGCCTCTGTTAGCTTATTGGAGTCACCAGTGGGAAAGGGTCACCTGGCTACACTCCCAACTCGAGTATCTAGGAGCAAATATTAATTCAACTGATTTGTGAAATAGGCGCAAAATTTACTTGCATTTAGTAAGAACCAATTATTCACTAACACGGTTGTGTTCAACTGGCATCAATTCAACCAATGATTCTTCTTCCTCTCTGAATTCATTTCAACAGTTTGGATATCATATTGGTAGAATGCTTTCCATCAGTTATATTTAGAACTGTTAACACAATAGAAATATTAACTGGATTCAGATATATAAGATGCGAGCATGAACCAATTACAAGGAATTTTAAAGATACAGACCTAAAGAATGCTATGTCTTCTAAGTCCAAATGAAGGCACTGATTATGACTAATAAAGCTCTGAATGGCTTTCTCTGCCAACCTCCACCTCTATGTTGTCCTAAATTCTAAAACATTAACTAACAGCTTCAAGCTAGAACTTCCAATTACATTTACAGAGGCAGTATTCATGGGCACCATTAGTCTGTGGAGTCCTTCCCACAGAGGTTCAGCAAAACCTCAAGAAAACACTTCACACCTTACAGGTCTCTGGTCTTCTTCTGCATATCACCTTATCTGTTTTCTAACATTTGAAGCACACTGGAATGTCTAAAGATCATGTGGTAAATATGCCTCCAGAAAGGGCCATTTGGGGAAAGGGCACAAGATTGCTGTTTAGCTTGGGCCTTAAGATCAGAAAGGGAGCTCAAATTTAGTCACATTCATTTTTTGGCATTTCACAACTTGTTTTTATGTGCATCCCTAGTGGAACAAAATGTGACACACTATCTCAGGTTGAGTTAAAAAAAATGTCCACACTATGGCTCACTCTTTTTTGGGTGCCTTGTTTTGTTTTTATGTGTTGTCATTTTTTTTAATTATTATGGCTAGGGGCCTCAAAAGCAGGAAATGGCCTAGGGTCTCTCTGGACCTCTGAGAGGGCCTCCATCCAGGAGCAGTAACTGGGAAATTTATTGCAAGTTTTCAGACATGTGCGTTCCAGGTGCTGGTTCTTACCTTTAAAGCCCTTCATGGCCTGGGACACACATAGCTGAAGGACCACCTCCCTCTGTGCCAGCCTATACAACAGTTTCATTCAGCTGAGCAATTTCTTTTGTTGGTGCCCCCCACTGCAGTTGGCATGTCTATCACTGATTTGTGTAACAGCCTTCTCCGTTGCTTCTCCCACTGTATGTAATGAGCTTCCTGAAAGACAGAGGAAGGCTCTCTATTACTGACCTTTAGCAAGGACTTTAAGGGTAGTCCTTTTTTGATAAAGCATTTGACTGATCCTTGTTTTTAGTGGCTGCTGTAAATGTATATATCAGTCTTGTCTTTTTTCTGAGGCATTTTGTTTACTCTCCATTTGAGGGATTGGATTTCTAATTACTAATTGTACATGTATTTTAGCTTTAACAGTAACCTGCCCTGAGCCTCTGGAAGGGTGTGGCAGCAGTTTTTACAAACATGTGTGGCATAGTGTAGAGATTTTAAATATCTGCTGGATTTTATTTGCATGATAATATTGTAACCCATTCACATTTTGGGACAGAACAAGCAATAAATTCATAGATGAATGAACCATATTAAAATGTTCAAAATGTATTTATTTGGTTGATTATGGCTAATTAGAAAACCTGAAAATCTAATAAAATATATATTTACCATCATGGAAGCCAGCTTAAACCTGGAGATCAAAACTAGTTCAAATGAAACAGAAATATGGAATCGATGCTTTCCTGCAATTCAGAGGAAAAACCATAAAGGATAAAGAGTATTGAATCATTTCTAATTGAGAGGCAGTTAAACTGCTTTGCACTCAACTAGTATTTTAGAGTACTATTTTTGAGAAAGTCAGTTCCTATAAGATAAAAGAAGTTGGATGGATGATAGTTTTAAACCAGAAGGTTATGGAAATGTCATACCGAAGATCCACACATATGCCAGATCCAAGCTGTTTACAGTATTTACTATGGCAGAAAAAATAACTATTTCAAAATGATAAGGGAACTCTGTCTTGTTTTAAAAAGCAAGATTCTAGTCTTCATGTTTATAGAGGAAAATATAAGAGCGCTTAGTCTAAATTTAACAAGAAAGAGTGGCTTATAGGGGGGTTGTACCATACCATGCCCATATCCTGCAAATGAATTCATATGACACACATGCCCCCGCAGAGACCCATGTTCAAGTCCCCACTCATGCCAGGGAAGCTTGTTGGGTGATCCTGGGCCAACCACTCTCTCTCAGCCTGACCTATTTCACAAGGTAGTTGTTGTGAGGATAAAACAGAAGCAGGGAGAACAATGTTTTAAGCAGCTTTGGGTGTCCATTTTGAAGGAAAATGGGATATAAATATATTAAAATAAACAAAATCACCAACAGCTCTGCTTCTATAAGAAGAACAAGACACAGAAATTAAAGCAATATAACACGGACTGATTAAAACTAGACCAAATATATCTCAATGTTGCTAACTGCAGTTAAGACCAACTATATTTTAAAAACCGCTAATTGCAATAAATTACTATCATTTACAGACAGATGTAAGGCACCAAAGGGAAAAAAAATTAATTAATTAAGAATGGCTTATCACTCTTCAGTTTCTCTAAAGCAGCCATGGGGGTTGGGAACAATAACTTTACTTTACTTAGTACTCTAACAATACAACTTTTGTAAAAACTTCAGCTCTTCAACAGAAAGGCCAAATCTGGACCCAATAACTAAACCTGCAATCTGGATTTGAATTTCAAGGCCAGTGTTTTTGCAACCTGCACTGAAACTAGTTTCTAAGATTTCTATTACTAATTCTACTAATTCTATTACTAATTACTAATAATTTGGTACGTGAAAATAAAACCTTTTCTTTGGGACTGCCATCCGACATTAGAAAAACAAATGCAATCTGTACTTGTTATGGCTCCAAAACCCATTTTAAATTATAGCACTGATGGGAGTCAAAAGTGCCAACCAATTCATTGCCTTAACACATCTTGAAAAACAAGAATTACACAAGATTCGTGCTCCAATGTGTCCCCAGTATAAAAGGCACAACAATCTGGGCCCTTACCAAGAAATTGGTGCAGATTAGCTGTCAGATAAAATATATAAGGATATCATAAGCAAATACAATTCAGTCAGTTTTTGAATAATAATAACAAGGAAGAAAGAGGAAAAGGGTAGTGGTAGAGAATAACTAGAGAGGAACAACCACTCAGAGATTCACCAGAAGACCATGTGGAAGATACAAGAGGTTTTATTAGGGATCTGGCCTGACTCTTTCTTTCTACTTTACCATAAAAGGGCAAATCAGCAATTCTTAGACCAACAAATGAATGATCAGTGATAATGAGGAAAATGCCCACACATTGTATTTTAAAAAAAAAGGTTAAAGAAAAAATGTCATGACAGAAGCTATCAGAAGCTGAAACTGTAAGATAACAAAGATTACATTGGTTAAAATGTAACAAAGCAAAAATGAAGATTTCTGTTAAACCCACTCCATCTCATCATGTATCCCAAGCAAAGTTCTGCAGAATGAAAAGTCTTTGTGCATTCTTATACAAATTGCAGAAGTGTTGTTTAATTTTGGCACAGTTGAACTACGCATTCTTTAGGTGCTGAACAATTAGTATACCTTATTAAGAGAATGGAAGTTTTTTAGAAAAACCATCTACAGTTTGGATTTTCTCCAAGACTCCACACAGCTTCATAACTTGTATGGTTAGCCTTAGGAAGGAAATTGATAAACCATTTGGTTAACTATCACAACAAATCATTATAAACGAAGTCCTGCAAGATCCAAACTTTTTTCTGTCTTAATAACTTACCCCAAACTTTTTTCAAGTTCATTAACCTCTAGCATATTTGTTCTCTAAATACAGGCTGTGAGAAGGGTGTTTTTCTCCCCATCTGCTACTAGCCCATGATCTATATTTACACCTTTTTTAAAAAAAAGGAAGAAGATGATGTGATCATTTAAGAGGCAAATTATAATCTCCCAAATGAACCACCAATATTCATATTCTTTGAGCAAGATCATATGTAGTTAGCCTCATCCAATACGACATATCTAAAAGCTTTCTGGGACACTTTTAAATCTAAATAGTTTTTTGTTACAGATAATTCTCATGTCCCTGAAAATGCTACTAGTTTGTGCTATAGATTGAACCCATTCCTATTAAAAATATAACATAATTATGTTCTGGGAAATCTGATGCTTAAGGAAACTACTGGCAACCGAAATATGATTAAACTTCAGAAGAGAGTTGTGATTGTATAGATCCTGACTACAGCACATGTATATGGCACAGATAATGTTGTCATTTACATTATCAATCATTTTCACAGAATGCATGCATCAGTGTAATGAATAACTGGGAAAAGTATGGTTAATTTTAGCTTTATAAACTTGGAATTGAAGAATAATGTGTTACTTAATGTCAACAGTTCCCTAAAGCAACTGCATCAAAGATGCAGAACTTGTTGGTGTATACTGAACTAACTACAGTCATTCCAGAATAACATTTAGCACCCTGCTTTATTTGAAAGAGCACTGTGGAACAAACTGGATTAATAGGTTTATAGTTATCATTACGAAATCCCTATCATGTGTCATTTTGTCTGGATGCTTTGTTCATTACATTCTCATTTCTCACACGCTTAAAGCCAAACAGTCAACCTGTGACAACTAGGCTAAGCCTGGTAAATCGTAGCAGTAAAAAAAGTGAAATTGGTGCTAAGGATGAACAGGGTAAGGGTTACCTGGTAAGGTGCAGCTGGTGTTCAGCTTTGCCCAGCAGTTCTGTTAGTTTCAGGTATTCGTCTTTTGCTCTTGCTGCATCCTGCAGCACTTGTTCTAAATGCTGTTTATGTTCATTGAGTTCCAGTTGTGCTCTCTCTATTTCCTTAAAAATACAAAAAAGCATGATAAAGTCAGAAATAGTTTATGCCTACCTATATTTGATAATAAAGTTGTAAATATCACAAAAAAGAATATTTCCATTTTAGGTGTTCATATTCTACCTGTAGCAAGTGCTGCAATATAATTGTGACACAGAAATTTAAAAGAGGGATGAATCCAGCAAGGTATTGCTTGTTACTAACTTAATTATTTTCTTTTGACTCAATGCTACCACCTTTAGTTCACTGTGAATTTCCCAAAATTTACACAATTATTGGCCAAAAAAAATACAGTAGTCTCAACAATTATGCTTAGCAAACCAACCAACCTGTTTTCTAATATTTGCTAATATTGTAACATCATGATAAGCATACTTATATTTTTAATATTTGCAGATTAATGGTTCTTCAAGGATTCTGTCCATTTTTATAGCTTGTGGTTACATTCATTCAAATAAGACATCTATCATTTATTTTTTTCCCATTTTCCCTCTTCTGACCCTGAAATTAATTCTTTAAACAACAAAACTATAGGCATTTGTTTGAAATGAAAAATAAACACAATTTAACCACAATTAATGCCAAGACAATCTTATAATTCCATATTATAGGCATAAATATAAACTCCCATCATTTTCTCCGGGGAAATGTCTAAAGTGAACAGATGGGCTTTATACCATACCCTCAAGATAAATCAGCTCAGGTTCTGTCAGACCATCCAAAAAGAAAAAAGGAAATTTTAACATGAAAGGAATTTTGTTCAGAATTGTCCCTTTATACCTGCCAGATGTTGGAGCCTAGGGATTTAAGGCAATACCGTGTCTGCTGATCCTCACTGTATACAGAGCTTGGATGCAAGTATCCCAGGGTACAGGTTTTAAAGATCAAAACCCTCATGACCTTTATCCAGAAATAAACTTGTGTTACATCTAAAACATTGATTTATTGTTTCCACAAACACTCTAGCATTTTTTTAAAAAAAATCCTAGGCAGTTACTTAGCAAACAGTAATTCTCTGTGCAACTTACAAGGACATGAATAACTGCAGTAAATTTAATAGGAAAATAAAGTTTTGGTCTCATGACGCAACTACAGTTTTTAAAAACACTTTGGGATTTCTTAGTACAGAGAGGAATGTTTTATGTAGATCACTTCAAGGATGTTTTATACTGTTTTTATATCCTGGCTTGCTTCTAATAGTACATGGTTAAGGCTTGTTTTACCACTTGGATATTATTTAGGATTGTTATGCTGTTTTTAATTATTTATTGTATTGTTTACATTTACCTGATCATTCAACCACCTCTTGCACCATTAAAGGAAGGGGGTTGTTTGATATTTTTGATATGCTGGGGTGGGGCAGTGGCAGAGCAGCCCCCCAATCTTGCACCAGAATGCTCTGAGACACCACAGAAGATATGGGGATGCACCTGCAGTTCATCTCAGAAACAGCAGCATTGTCAGCTTCCCAAATAAACTGAGCATGCATCAAAAGACACTCAGACCACTCAGGGAGTTAGTTGTGATAAACCAGCACAATCTTCTAAACACAGATGTGTCTTCCACATATCTTTGAAGTGTGCAACCCTTGACAACTGCATGTACTTGTCTGTAGGATCAAGTTGATACTTTAACTTCTTGAGGTTCCCAATAACAAAATTCGAGAACTGCTATATTATAAAAAGTAATAATCACTGCATCATCATTCTTGTGATCAGAGTGCAATATGCTGTACACTTCAAAACGCAATGGCTTAAAACAAAATCCTGAGGAATCCAAGTTTCAAGAAAAAGTCTGGGAAAAAGGAAGATCTCACAAGGGAAAAAAGTCTTAAAATATTTCTATCAAATGCTCAGAAACCACAAGATTTGACTGATCAGGACAGTTGTACAACTTCTTTCTGTCACACACAATGTTTCAGTTTTGTCTCATGCACCTTATCTTTTCTTTCCTTCCACTTCCTTACTCCCTGAAAAGGAATCTGAAGTTCTGACAAATACTTTGACATAATGCAGATTAACTGCTATATCTTATGTAAAAAGGTAAAGGTTCCCTTGCTCGAAAGCCAGTCGAATCCGACTCTAGGGTTGCGGTGCTCATCTCCGTTTTCAAGCCGAAGAGCCAGCGCTGTCCGAAGACGTTTCCGTGGTCATGTGGCCGGCATGACTAAACACCAAGGCGCACGGAACGCTGTTACCTTCCCACCGAAGTGGTACCTATTTATCTACTTGCAATTTCTTGCTTTCGAACTGCTAGGTTGGCAGGAGCTGGAACTAGAGACAGGAGCTCACCCCATCTTGCGGCACCCGGGTCTTGAACTGCTGAACTACTGACCTTCCACAGCCTGCACTTCAGCATCTTAACCACTTGAGCCACCGCAGCTCCTATATCTTATGTAGAGAATCAAAATTCCTTAGATATTGAGTTATAGGCCGGGGGGGGGGGGGGACCTAGTGAAGGCCTAACAACCCTAAATCAGTGGACTACAGGTTTGATGTTAACACAAGAGTATTCTGCACTAGACCTTAAGACCTGGTTCAACCCTGTCCCTGAACTTACATTCTACACTATACTCGAGTTCACACCTGTAATTATCTTGGGGTATTTTTTGTTTCCACATTACACTGAGGTCACCCTGGTTTTACTTCACACTTGTCCCGGGATAAACGGATGCTGTTATAAATAAGGATAAGTGCAAGGTATTCTGTTGTGAGTTGAACTCTGATAAAACCAGGGATGAGATCCAAGTATGTAAAGGACCAGTGATACAGAAACGCATATAGGGATCGATAGAGAAGTATTATGGGAAGAGCAATGAGAATAAGATTAATTTAGCAAAATTATTTAAAAATGAAGGTAGTAACAATATTATAATTGTCTGCATTACTCTAAAAATAGACAAAGGTTTTAGCAAGAGGTATAGAGCTGCGGTGGCTCAAGTGGTTAAGACGATGAACTGCAGACTGTGGAAGGTCGGTAGTTCAGCAGTTCGAGACCCAAGTGTGCTGCATGATGGAGTGAGCTCCCGTCTCTAGTTCCAGCTCCTGCCAACCTAGCAGTTCGAAAGCAAGAAATTGCAAGTAGATAAATAGGTACCACTTCAGTGGGAAGGTAACAGCGTTCCGTGCACCTTGGTGTTTAGTCATGCCGGCCACATGACCACGGAAACGTCTTTGGACAGCGCTGTCTCTTCGGCTTTGAAACGGAGATGAGCACTGCAACCCTAGAGTCGGATTTGACTGGCTTTCGAGCAAGGGAACCTTTACTTTACCTATAGTGAAGAAAGAGCAGATATGGAGATGGAAGAACAGAAAGGATGAATTATGGGAGTACAAATTCATCAGCGATGAAACTGTACCCCCAAAGTGATGAGGGCATTTTTAATGCACTGAAAGAGAGCTGGGTCTGGATTGTCCCAACATGATTGTACCATCACATTGTGAATTCATTTCCCAAGTGTGCAAGGCCCTGAATCAAGCTGGGTCATTTTTCTGGCCTGAAATGAACCCAGGGTGCCGTTTCCTCATTAGGATCTGTGCATCCACAATCTGAATCACTTCCATCTCCCTCTTTCTAATGACAGCGTCTCCTCTCTAGACTAGGGTTGCCAACCCCCAGGAACTGGCTGGAGATCTCCCAGAATTACATATGATCCCCGGGTTACATAGATTAGTTCCCCTGGAAGAAAAGGCAGCTTCAGAATGTGGGCTATATGGCTAAGGTCCCTCCCTGGGCTCCACTCACAAAATCTTCAAGAATTCCCCAACCTAGAGCTGCCAACCCTATCTAGACCCATGGCAGGCAAGCCCCAGCACAAGCACTGAACAGCAGCACATTGGACCATTTTACTCAGCACACAGGGCCAGTTGTCTGAACAAGGGACAGGGTTGAACCCCCAAGGAAGTGGCAGCATCACTGGGGCTCAAGGTTGCTTCCAGTGTGTCTGGCAAATATAAACTTCTTCTCTCCTCCCCCCACTGCTTTGTGTGCTGGCAAATCAAAGTGTTCACAGATAGATCTAGTCTATTGGAGCTGAATCTTGCTGGCCTCCTTTTCTATTCTTTATCAGTCCCAAATTCAAACCACTGGTACATTCAGTATGCTCTTTCACAGATAATATTCTCCCCAACCCTATTACTATTCCATGTAGCAAAATGAAGCCCTTGATGAAAGCCCTTCATATCTCCTTCCCTCCTCTTTGATTATCACTTCTTGATTTGCTAAAGAGACCTGGCATCATCCTGGCTTCCATTTGCCTTCCTCATCCTCTTTAACAGAAAGCAAAAGGTGAGGCTAGGTTTCTTCAGCAAAATTATTTTGAACATACTGGATTTTGAGGGAAAGGCTTAAAGGCTGAAAGGTGTTTTTTAGCTATGTGTAAGAATGTGGATGGAAGCACTGAAGTGGGTATAGGATGGGGTGACAAAGGAAGAGGAACACAGAGACGGGACAGGATGACAAGATGCAAGATGTGTCATAGAGTACAAGTCTTCTGAGCCCAGACAGAATCACTTCTATACTCTCTATCACTCTGCCACATTTTGGGAAACAAAAAGCAACAGAAAAAACACACAAAGAAAGCATAATCACTATTTATTTAGAGAATGTATATTTATTATTTAGGATATTTCTACGCCAGGGTTCTGCTTGAAGCTGCTTACAACCACATCAAAATATTAAAAACAAGCCAGTAAACAGAAGCAACGCGTTAAAGTCGACAGGGTGAAGGTGGTGGGGACCTTAGGGGGAAGTGACCATGTCCTCCTTGAATTCCAGTTGCTGTGGGGGGGGGGGTCAAGGATGTTCGTAGCCAGACTCGTAAATTAGATTTTTGTAGGGCCGACTTCAACGAACTCAGAGGCTTGATGGGAGTCAGTCCATGGGAGAGTGTGCTGGAAAGGAAAGGAGCAAGCGAAGGGTGGGCTCTTCTCAAACATGAGCTTTTGCAAGCTCAAGCCCTCACTATTCCAGCAAGACGGAAACATGGTAAGGGCTCCAATAAACCAATGTGGATGGATTGAGAGCTCCAGAATAAGCTAAGGGAGAAAAAGGAAATGCTCAGGAAATGGAGGGAAGGTCAGACCTCTAAAGAGTATGAGAGTTACTAGGTACTGCAGGTCAGCCATCAGAGAAACCAAAGCTCAGTATGAGTTGGATCTGGCCAGGGGGGCTCACTACAATAAGAAAAACTTCTACAGATATGTAAGAAGCAAACACAAGGTAAAAGAGGCAATTGGACCACTTTTGGGAGTAGAAGGAGAAACTCTGGTAGAGGACAAAGAAAAAGCAGACAGGCTTAATGGGGTTTTTTTGCCTCTGCTTTCTCCCTGAAGAACTCGAGCCCATCTAGAGATGATAGAGGACATGATAGGACACCTGAGTGTCCAGTTGACATTGACAGGGAGTTTGTGGAGAGGCACCTGGCTGCACTGGACAAATACAAATCTTCTAGGCCAGATAGCGTGCACCCAAGAGTGCTCAAAGAATTTTCTAATGAACTTGCAGAGCCTCTGTCCATCATCTTCAAGGCCTCCTGGAGGACTGGGGATGTGCCACAAGATTGGAGATGAGCGAATGTAATCCCAATCTTTAAGAAAGGGAAGAAGGATGACCCGGGAAACTATAGGCCAGTCAGTCTGACTTCTGTTGCTGGGAAGGTATTAGAGCAGATTTTAAAGGGATCAATCTGTAAGCATCTGAAGGACCACCTAGTGATCTGGGGAAGTCAGCATAGTTTTGTCCCCAACAGATCTTGTCAGACCAACCTGATTTCCTTCTCTGATTATGTGACGAGCTTACTGGATCGTGGGAACTCTGTTGATGTGATTTACCTGGATTTCAGTAAAGCTTCTGATAAGGTTCCCCATGACATTCTGATGGGCAAACTGGAAGATTGTGGACTGGACTATAGGACAGTTCGGTGGATAGGGAACTGGTTAGAGGACTGAACCGAAAGAGTGGTGGTCAATGGCGTTTCATCAGACTGGAGGGAGGTGTCCAGTGGGGTGCCGCATTTTGGGTCTGGTATTTTTCAATAATTTTATCAGTGATCTGGATGAAGGGGTAGAAGGGCTACTCATTAAATTTGCTGATGATACCAAATTGGGAGGAGTAGCAAACACCCAAGATACAGTTAAAATTCAACAAGACCTGAATACTCTGGAAAAGTGGGCAGTTGCAAACAGGATGCAATTCAACAAAGATAAATGCACAGTATTACATCTGGGCCACAAAAATGTCAAGCACAAATACTGGATGGGGGATACGTTTCTGGGGAGTAGTGTATGTGAAAGAGATCTTGGGGCTGTATACTGCTTTGGTCAGGCTGCACCTTGAGTACTGTGTGCAGTTCTGCAGGCCTCACTTTAAAAAGGATGTGGACAAAATCAAGAGGGTGCAGAAGAGAGCAATGAGGATGATCAGGGATCTGGAGACTGAGCCCTACGAGGAAAGGCTAAGGGCCTTGGGAATGTTTAGTTTGGAGAAGAGGAGATTGAGGGGGGGGGGACATGATTGCTTTCTTTACATATTTGAAAGGCTGTCATTTGGAGGAGGGCAAGGAGCTGTTCCAGTTGGCAGCAGAGGATAGGACCCGAAGCAACGGGTTTAAACTACACGCAGAAAGGTATCGGCTAGATATTAGAAAAAAACTTTTTCACGGTCAGAGTGGTTCAAAGGTGGAATCAGCTGCCTAGGTAGGTGGTAACCTCCTCTTCACTGGCAGCTTTCAAGAAGAGGCTGGATGAATATTTGTCAGAGATGCTTTAGGCTGGTCGTGCATTGGGCAGGGGGTTGGACTAGATGGTCTGTATGGCCCCTTTCAACTCTATGATTCTATGAAAAACCTAATAAAATAAAGCCCCTAATTAAAAGCCTTGGGGAAAAGATATGTTTTAGCTTGGCACCTAAAAGAAAGTAAGGTAGGCACCAGGTGAGCCTCAAGGGGGAGGGCATTCCAAAAGCAAGGTGCCACCACAGAAAATGCCTTGTCGTTAGTTGCTACCTGCCCCACCTCTGAAGGTAGGGGTACATACAATAAGGCTGGATAGCATGGGAATTTAGGGTACCTCAGGTATATGCCTCATCAACAGAGAACTGCTTAGTGTCTCACAAAGTAAAAGCAGATACTCCATAAAACCACATAAAATTATCAATACTAAAAGAGGCTACAAACAGGCAACAAAATCAGCATTAAGCAGCCTAAAATGAGATCTATAAAAAGGCAAACAAGACTTCAGAGAATGAATAGAATAGAATAGAATAGAATAGAATAGAATAGAATAGAATAGAATAGAATAGAATAGAATAGAATAGAATAGAATAGAATAGAATAGAATAGAATAGAATAGAATAGAATAGAATAGAATAGAATAGAATAGAATAGAATAGAATAGAATAGAATAGAATAGAATAGAATAGAATAGAATAGAATAGAATAGAATAGAATAGAATAGAATAGAATAGAATAGAATAGAATAGAATAGAATAGAATAGAATAGAATAGAATAGAATCATAGAGTTGGAAGGGACCTCCAGGGTCATCTAGTCCAACCCCTTGCACAAGGCAGGAAATTGCTTCCTGATCCCAAAGTGGCAATCAGCATTTCCCTGGGCATGTAAGAAAGGGCAAAATTCTTCTCATTTAATTTCAACCCGTTGGTTCTGGTCCAACCTTCTGGGGTAACAGAAAACAACTTTACGTGGCAGCCCCTCAAGTACTTGAAGATGGTTATCATATCACCTCTCAGTTGTCTCTAATGCAGCACATCTGTCAGTTGTAGTTTGGCATTTGTGCTCACCACAGCAGTAGGGAGCAAAAAAGAGTTAACTCACAGTGGTGAGATGGATTTAGGTTGCAACTTGTTTCAGTGCTGGAAGAAGTCCAGCATACCATTCCAACGTATTTAAAAAAGTATGCCTTGCACACGAAAGCTCATACCTTGAATAAACCTTTGTTGGTCTTAAAGGTGCCACTGGACTCTAAATTTGTTTTACTGACAAACATGGCTGACCACCTGGATCTATCCCTAAGGATCATGTAATGACTGAGAAATCAAAGAACAAACTGTCTCTTTAATTCGTACAACTCTTTTGCACAACCTGGGGCACAAGGACCACCTGCCCCTGTACAAACCCACGTATCAGCTTGGATTTTCATCACTGTTGGTTTTAACAATATTTTCCATTCATAAGATACAGGACTCCTCAGCAAGGTTCCATGCACTCTCTGTGAAGGTTCCAGTTTTTATAGAAGGAGCTAAGGAGTCTCCACAAAACACTATGTTTACTGCTTTTCAGATTATAATCAATAATCTGAATTATAATCAATACTCTTAATTTGGTTTTTTGACCTACACCATTCTAAATGCAGGATAGGGTATAACAGAATTTTTTAAATATATACAATCATTTAAGAAGTCAAGCAAAATGAAAGCTCAGGAGGAAGGCATACAAATACAAGCACGTAGAATTATTTATATTACTTTGGGGGGTCATATTTGACAGTGGGTACAATCGACATGTAGAGAAGGGACAGTGCTTGGATGCAAGGCTCAATAAAACTGTTTCACTCACCATTTATATCTGTGTATGTATGTATAAGCACGCAAGCAGAAAATTAGGGGAACAGGAATTTTGTGTTTGCCCCCTGTACTCTCCATGCTTTGTATGTTTCCCGCAAAAAAGGAGGGCTAGGATCTAAGAGCTTTGCATAAGCCTTCCAGTGATGCCTGCTTGTGCATGTGGTAGTGGAGGGGAATTCTCTACACACGGGTGCTGTGCCCATGATGTGACTAGATAGTAACTGATATAGCTACTGTCATTACCATTTGCTTATACTGTTAGATTATAGGTACAAGTTACCATAATTTTGCCATTCATTCAAGTTAATCAGCCATTCAAAATGTTCTTAGACATTCCTCAGTATCTTATTATGCACTACACCAGTTTATTCTTATAGCTACAATGCTTTAAACAGGAGATACCTTTTTCCGCAAACCTCTAAGCATTAAGTTGCAAAAAATGGTAAATGTGTTTCCATTGGTATGTGACAGAAGACAGGAGGAGGAGAGAAATATATGTTTGGATTACAGCTCACCTTCACAAACTACAAAAGATTTTAAACTGTATCTTTTTTTGGTGTTAAAAGGTAATATTTAAATGACCAGTGACTAGAAACTTAGTAGTTTTAATTCATAACCTTACACGTTCCAGAATCATTTTAAATGTAAGTATGATTTCATGCATAACTCTCCAGGGATGTCAGTGAAATTCAAACTGGTAGGAATATACTGTAAACAAGGGATTGTATAATATTCAATGTAAACATATCCTATTCAGCTGGTCCCTAATACTGGTTTATTTCAGTATCAAATGCTGATTAATAACGAATGCCTTCTTCACAACTATACACAGAGAAATTTCCTGGTTTGTATTACTTAGAAAAGACTAAGTTTTTTAATTACGAATATTAAATCAGCAACCACTAGTTTTAAATTTTTTAAAGAAATGTTACTAATAAAAATGGGATTTGGGAAGATAAAGAAATAATATGCACTTTTTAAAAAGTATCATCAGAGTTTGGTCATATTTGCTGCATGTTTTGATCTCTGAAATTGATCTAACAAAAGTCATCTAGATAACACACACCCAGAGTGTGTCATCATGTGTGCCTATTCACAGCATGCAAGAAGGCATGTTATGTATCACTGAGGCACCTATATCTGCATATTTTTAGGCTTGAAAATAACTCACTGGAAAAAATAAAAAAGATAATATTAACAGCTGCTTTCTTGCCATTTAGAACCTATGACAATGGTCATGTATTGAGCCCCTTACATTTCCAACAACAGCTTGATCATGGTAATTCTCTCTTACCTGATCTTTAATTTCGAGCTCCCTTATAGTTTTCATCCTATACTCTCTGTGCTCCTTTTCTGCCTCATCCTTCTTCATTTTGGTCTTATTCAGTTCATAACGTATTTCCCCACACACCTGTTAGAAAGAACATATTATGACAGTAAGTAGCGTCAAGACTCCACAGAGCAATATTTACATTGAGAGGTTTTGATGCCCTCTAGTGGTTTTCTTTATATTATATTACTTGCTGATTAATTTTAGGGCACTGCTGAATTATCACACTGATTTTTTAATAATATTTTTATTGGTTTTATAAGCTATATCCTACATTCTAAAGGTAAGGGTACAGGGGAAAACCTATCACTAACTTATGACAAGAATGTTTGTAAGCTGACACATACCTACATCACTCCTGCAATAATATTGGTATTATGATAAACATAGAATTATAAAAGCAGAGAGATCAAACTTCTATCGATTAAAGCTTATTTATGCTTAAGTCAAGTAATATTGTAATCCGGGGGGGGGGAGATGTTTGTCTCTTGGGCTTCTTCTTCACTTTTGAAGTTTTAGGCACTGCTGCTCCTTTCTCAGACTCTGACGTTGAACTGCTGGACTCAGTTGAAGAATTATCCACTTCTTCCTCACTGGGTTCCTCTCCTTCTTCTAGATTAGGGTCCTCATCTTTATCTATGCCCAATTCTTTTTTCAAAAAGTTTTTGATGTTTTGGAATAGAGTCAATTTTAACTTTCTTGTTGTTGTATTTGAACACGATTCCTTCTGGGAAGCTCCATCTGTAGGTTATTGCTTTCTCTTGTAGGAAAAGAATTAAGTCTTTATACTGTCGCCTTAGTTTCCAGATCTCAAATAGAATGTCTTTCAGAATTTTAATTTCTTCTTCATTGATTTTAAGTGTTTTCCCCACAGTAGCTTTTAAAACATTGTCTCTCATTGTTCTCTTTGAGAATTTGACGTAAATTTCGCCAGGCAGTTTATTTTTCTTATAAAACCAGGGTAGGTACGGTATACCAAGTCCATGTCACTTTGTAGATCTTCCTGTTTAAGGTCTGAAATTGAAGCTATCGCTCCACTTATCGTTGTTTTTATGTCTTCCCCCTTCTGTTCAGGAACTCCTTGGAAGCGCAGAACATGCATAGATTTATCAAGCTGAAGCAGTTTATTTTTATCCGTATTTCTTTCCTTCTTAACTTCTTTTAATTGTGGCTTAATATCAATAGTTCTTGTTTCAACTTTCTCAATCCTTTTATCTGTCTTATTGGCTCTTTTTTCCATTTGGGTAAGTTGCTTTTGAACGGAATCCAGCTTGGTATTAATTGTAGACATTTGGTCCAGCAGAGGGCGCAGTGCTGCAGCAAGCATATTGGGAAAGTCTGCAGCCGCTTCCTGTGGGTGACTGGGAGTCGTTGGTGTAGTAGTTCCTGGTAGAAGTTTCTTTTCCGCCACCATTCTCCTTGCCCTCCCAGCCATTTGTTTACAGTGAAGAAAAGTTTTAGTTTTAAATTACATTTTCTCTAAATTCCACATTCTTGGGCTTAAAATACAGCTTTCAAGCTTAAATGAAGTCTCAAGCGGTAAGTTTCATTCCTTCTTCCCTTTTTGTACCGCTTCAAGATCACTCTGTTTCGGGGGGGGGGGGGGCCACACCATCCCCACACGTTGCTCTTTCTCCTGTCAATCTAGCAAGTCAAGACTTCTTTGCTTATACAGAAGTTTGATTAACTCACTGCTTAGATGAGTTTGATTATTGCCGGGTTTATTTTCGCTTATTTTCTTGTTCACTCGTTCGGAGGTCAGCTCTCGTCGCCATACTGGCTCCGTGGTGTCAGGACATCTCGGGGACAGACAAGCCTCAAATCCCTCGGCTGTCGCCTTGGGAGAGGCTTATCCCGGCTCCCCAGGCTGAGAGTCTCCTACAGAGACTCTATGGGGTTCTGGAACCAACCAAGACCCCTCCTGATCGCCTCGGCTTGGCGTGTTGCCATCAGAGGGTCGATGGGACATGTCCAAGAGCAAGCCGCCATAAACCAGAAACCACACTAACAGATTTGAGGGGGACACTGACACTTGGAAGAGGGGTGCTCAATCCTCATCAAACCCATAATCATGACTGTTTACTCTGTATTACTATACTGGCATTTTTTTTTCCTGAATCACTCTCAAGAGGCTGCAGCCAACCAGAAATCAGATTGTAGATGTGACAACATGACTATTCCACACAGCCAATCCAGTTTGGCTGCACGGTGATGACGCTATGGGGAAATGAAGGTTCTTTTTTCATGTTCTCTTTATGTTCTTTCAAGCCTCATCTGGAAAGGGAGTAGACTGAAGGGTCAGAAAATGTTTATAACCCGCCTCTCACTGGTATTTGCTCAACCCTTAAAAGTTACAAATACAGTTTTTATATATCAAAGTTGGTCCTTAGTGTCTTAAATGTAATGAGAGATGAGAATTACAGCCCTTATTCAGTTCTACTTGCTTCAATATGTCCTACTTGAAATTCTTTATTTACAAGTGTTTAACTACAACTGTGAATTATGCTCTGTATAAGAATACTGCTAGTGTTTATCTAGAGAGACTTTTTTTGCACAATGAACAATTTGTTACTCTTTTCCTGCAAGGGACCCAGACATTTTCCTGACAAATGATAGAACTATTTGGGGCAATACTGAAATGTCAAATATTGTTGCTGGGTTTTCCCACAGATACTATTAATATTTCTAATGTAATTAAAATGTAGAAATAGTACCTGCGACAATAGTGGTAAACAAATGATCCAGTCACTCATATAGCCATACATGCCTTTGAACACAAGCACACTTCTAAAAATTTGTTGCTGGAAGTGCTCAACGCCTCAAATGAGGTACTCTTCTTGCCCCATACAAAATGATATACTCTTTTCCTCCAAACATAGCAATACTTCTTAATCGTATGGTACATGAACCAAACCTCTTTTAGAAACAACCTGGAAACACCTACTTGATGCAAGGATATCCCCCTTTCCCCACGACAGGTAAAATGGGTTACTGCCTATTACTGGATCCCACATAGGTGAAAATAAATTTGAGAACACTTAGGCTGATTGTCTGAATAAGCCAGAGAAACAGACACATGTTCAGAAAGCTTTAAGAACCCTTTTCCAAGCAAATCATCTGAAAACTTTCACAATGCCCTCTTCTTTTTTCCTAATATGATGGCCCTGTCCCCTCCCTCAGAGGCAAGATTTTTCCTCCGTTTTTCTTTCCCTTTCTGACTGAGCAGGCCTAGTGGTCTGTTTTCTTATTTCCTGAAGAACTTTGGCTGTCTCATCCTTTGTCAGTATGATATTTTACTACTGGCTCAGCCCAGGAACCTGAGGGAAGGGTCGAGATTGCCCTTTAACTTAAACCACTGAAAATGGCACTTGAGATGTTTTAAAATTCAAAATTAACTAAATATTTTCTTCAACATAGAGGGGAAAGGTCAGGTAAAATCAGGGGTTGAAATTTCTGAAGTAACTCAGTATAGATAACTCTGAGGTAAAACCAGTACATGCACAGGCTTTAGTTCTCATGTTTCAGGCTAATGAGAGTTTCTTAAGCTATTCAGTTATTTAATTTTTTACGTTGAGAGGCTTTTATTCCAGTGTTTTCCAAACACTCCAATACACTTTCTTTGAGAATTCTCTGACTCTTTTGGTTTCCAGAAGGTTGGCACACTCTTTTCAGTACCCTCTAGTACCCAAACCCCTTCTCTTGAAATGCCAGTACTCATCTTGACTTTTTAACTGGCTCTTAAGGTTTCTAAAGGCAGTTTCTAACCACACCAGACTAGGGAATCTCTCCACTGTTCAGAGCTAACTCCCTGTTTGACTGGGTAGGGAAATTCTCCTCTCACTAGAAGATCTAACCCCTTTATTTGGCCCGAATGGGAATCTTTGCCTACTTTCCAAACTTCCTTGCCAAATTTTCCCCAGTTCTCTTGTCTGTATTAAACTGCTCTCAGTCAGGGCTGACTTCCAAAACTGTCAGTACTCGATTCTTCTCAGCTAGGAGTGAAATCAAGCGGAATTCTCCTCTGCATCCAGTTCAGAAGTATTTCTCTGTTCAGCTGATACTAACCAATCAGATCTCTTGAAACAGCCTGTCACTCAAGATTCTCTGGCTCTGTGAAGAATTAACCCTTCACAATCCTTTACCTGTTCATACAGCACTTCAAAGCTTAAAAGCTTAACCCTAACACTTAAGCAGGTGATTAAGTGAACAGAGATGTAATGTCAAGTACTAGATTGTTCAACAACATGGTGTGCATAAAGTCAAAAGAATCTCAAATAGAGTTAAACCACAGAGGCGTACTCGGCTAACACCCAGTCTTGTAAGACAGCATACTAGCATGCTTAGGTTTTAGACGTCTGAGTGTGCATGGTGTTAGAAAGTGTGCTTACCTTATTAATTTCGATATCACGGGAAGCATTCTGATTTTGAGCTTCAAGCAGCTGATTAGATAAAGAGATCTTTTCTCTTGTAATCTTGTCAACCTGAGCCTCCAGTGTAGCTACATTCTGAGATAAAGACATCACCTGAGACAAAAGCAGACCAGAATTAGCCATAACCCAAACAATTGGGTAAAGCTGAAAATCAGTAGTTATGGGAAATTGCACGTTTAACACCTTTACTGGACTTTGAACATCAAAACTCTATTTCTTAAAAAACAGTTTGGGTTCTGAAAGAAAATAAAAAGATTTATTCTGACAATAAACTAACATTGCAATCCTAAACAATGGGCTTAGAATGGTTTAACTCTGTTTAGGATTGCACTTAGTCTCACAAAGACAACCCCTTCCATCATTTCAGGGCTGCTTCGCATACAGTACGTCTCCTATAAGAGAAATAGGTACACAATCATTTTCCTCACCCATATGTACACAAATTGGGAAGCCACAACAGGCAGCAAGTTCCTAGTGTGCATGCATGTAGCAGAACAGTATATTTTTCATATGAATGGGGGAATATATGTATATACATTTTTCCTAAGTGACCTAAAGACAGTCCTCATAAGAGCCACATCAGAAGAACAGCTGAGAGTAATATATAAATATCTGTTGCTCAACTGCCACCTAGTTACTAATTATTTAACACCTATGCTAATAGGATGCTGATTAAAAGATTTAGGAAGCAAGCCTAAGGAAGTCTACTCAGAACTAAGTCCCATAATATTCCACTGAGATTACTCGCAGTAAATTGTTCTTAGGGTTGCACTATTGGAGTAGAACAATGGACTGCAGACTTGTTCTTGGCTCTGGCAGGAATTATTTCCGCCTTTCCACAGGAGGTTTAACAATGAGTAGCATCAGTACAAACCTCAACCACAGTCATGCTAATCAGGACTCCCTCTTAACCAGAACGGAAAACAATGTTTTTGAGCTGCTTAGCAGAACTGGGTTTAAACCATATAAAAGGATCTTCAAGTAAGCTCTCAAACAACTAAAAAAAAACCCACCGTCAACAAAACTTCCTTTGAAAAATAAAACGACTCAAGAAGGGTAGCTTTGTTCATCTGTCGTAACAAAATTGAATTTGAGGTCAAGTGGCACCTTAAAGGCTGACGACATTTATCCCAGCATAAGCTTTTCTGAGTCAGAGCTCACTTCATCAGAGGCACAAGGAAACTGCACCTGAAGAAGGGGGCTAAGGAAAGCTTAAGCCAGAACTAGCGGTGTTAGTCTTTGAGATGCTACCAGATGCCAGATCAACTTTTAAAAAGAAAATTATCAGTACTTATCATCTCCACGGACAGCTAACTGTAAAGGGAAATTTTTTCCTTTTTTAAATTATGGGAAATCCGGGGCTTTTTTTTGTAGAAAAAGCCCAGCAAGAACTCATTAGAAGAACAGGCCACACCCAACAGAAGAAACTCATTAGCACATCAGGCCACACACATGACAGCACAGCTCATTAGCATATCAGGCCACACCCCATGCCTTCTCTTGGTTTGCCTGGGCTCCCCGCGGCTGCGGGTAGCCTGGGCAAGTTGGTTCTTGGACAGGCCGGGGAAGGCACAGGGAGGCAATTTAAATGCCTTCCCGATCCTTCCAGGCCCCGCCTGCCTCGGAGTCGCCACTGGGGGGGGGAGTCGCTCTCCAGGCCTTCCCTCCGTAGCCATGCATACAGAGGTTTTGGCTGTAGTGGGCGTGGCCAACTCTGAAGCCAGCCGGAACTCCGTTCCTCTGCGTTTTCCTGCCCAAAAATAGCCCTGGGGAACTCTTTCAAAGAGCAAGGCAGGACAGGTCCAACGCCTTGCTGCCTTGCAAAAAGAGGAAGACAACAATGACTAGAAAGCATAGTTAGTTATATTCTAAAACATGGATACATATATTTGTTAAAATACCATGGATGACAAGTTCTCGTTCTCTTTCTTCATTTCTTCACGTACTGCTTCTCGCTCGCCAGCTCTCTTTTCCAGCTGGACTGCTAATGCCCTCTCAAGGCGATCTCTCTGTCTCTCCATCTCATTTTTAAGTTGGTCACATTGGACCAAAGCCTATGGAAACAGGAACGGATTGAAAGAACAAAATTAAATATTGCATTTAAACAAGGACAATTATCAAATTTGGGGGGATGAGGGAGAAGCTGGTAGAATCATAGAGTCACAGAATCATTGAGTTAGAAGGGATCTCCAGGGTCATCTAGTCCAACCCCCTGCATAATGCAGGAAATTCACAAATACCTCCCCCTCCACACCCTTCTATGCCCAGAAGATGACAAAAATTGTACTGTTGTACAAAAGTTGTACAGGATTAAACATTAAACAACCTAGTTTACATTACTGACTAAATATGCCATATTTTCAAATGGACACAGTATAGTACTTGTATGTTTAAACTTACACCCAAGAACACCTCTGTGCTCAAATTGTTAAAAGAAGTTAGATCTCCAACTTTAAAAAAATCAGGGCAAAAATAACACTGGCCATCTTTTGAACAGTCCTGTTACCTACACAGCACCTTCTCTCAAACAGTTTCTGAATGCATATCATTCAATGCATGTGTGAAAAAACCTGGACACAGACACTTACTTTCTTGGCATGAATGACTATGTAGTACTTACTCTGTCTGCTTTATTAGGATATACAGCCTCAGAGCAAGTTCAGTAACATGGTAGTCTTAACAAGCAACTATTGTGACACTAGCATTCATGAAAAAACAGTTGTTTTAAAAGAAGCATTAATTAGATGGGCAGACATGTCCTGGCCCTAGTTTCAACAGGGAGATCCCAAATGAAAACAAATGTGTTCATATTATTTATCATTAAAACTTAAGAGAAATGCTGATTGTATAGTAGCCTGTCTTAAAGGATCAATGCTTCAAAATTAATTATAGAAATCCAGGGCAGGAACAGAGTTCCGGCTCGCTTCAGAGTTGGCCACGCCCACTACAGCCAAAACCTCTGTATGCGTGGCTACAGATGGAAGGCCTGGAGAGCGACCCCCCCAGCGACTCTGAGGCGGGCGGGCCAGTGGGGCCCCTGGGAAGGATCGGGGAGACATTTAAATGCCTCCCTGTGCCTTCCCCGACCTGTCCAAGGGCCGGCTTGCCCAATCTCCTTGCAGCCGCGGGGCACCCGGGCAGACCAAGGGAAGGCATGGGGTGTGGCCTAATATGCTAAAGTGTTGTGCTGTCAAGTGTGTGGCCTAATAAGCTAATGAGTTCCTGCTGTTGGGTGTGGCCTATTATGCTAATGAGTTCCTGCTGGGCTTTTTCTACAAAAAAAGCCCTGTAGAAATCCCATCAATTCTAATAAAGGAGGGGCGGAATTCAGGCTCAGCAACGCTTTGATACGTGCAAGGGCTTGTACTATTTATCCCTAGATGAGGTTACTTCAGGTACAGTGTCCTTACCAATATATGAGTTAAGTCAGTTGAAGTGTTCACATTATTGTATAATGGTAGGCCTGACCAGTAATAGTTTTAGTAGTTGTCTACTAATTTTTACTATAATTGTAGCAATTATGCTGATGAAATATTATAATTTTGTACCACAACCCTTTAAACGAAGGTCAGCTAGAGATGTCAGGGCCAAGAGGGAGAGACATAAAAATTCAGGGAAAATTTTTTTTTCCAACTTTTTTTCAATTTTTCCAGAGGAAACGTTGGGGGAACCCTGAAAAGAAACATCCATGAGATACTTTCTCTTCTAGAATGTGTAAAATGGTTAAGGCATAATTTTTCACACTCAAAATGCGTACCACGAAAAGTTCAAGGACTTTTTCAACTTTTCTAATGGAAAAAGTAGGCAATTTTGAGAAGCACTGGGAAAAAACTCCTATGAAATATTTTTTCTCTTTTTGAGCAAGATAAAGTTAGTCTTACAAAGCATTCCACTCATTCAAAGTGTACAGCATGAAAAAGTGTGAGGCCTTCCTCATTTTTTTCCAGTGGAAAAACTGGGAAATTTGGGGGAACAATGGAAAAATGACCTCTTATGCTGAAGACATATATAATATTTTCAAGATGTTTAGTTTAAATGTAATAATTTCAACAACAATATAATATGTTTAAAATTAATATATTATTAAAGAATGCAGTGTTTTTATAAAGTTATCCAAACATGCTGGCAGTCCTACCTATTGTGACTCTATGAATTTCTGTTCAAATAATACACTTCCTTTTGTTTACTAACTACAACATTTCTTTTCTATCTTTTATTTTTTCTTCTTTCATGGCAAAAATTAGAGATACATGTGCTATGAGACTAATAGGGTGCGTTCAGACGGGCTGTTTGATCAGCTTTCGTCACGCTTCAGAAACGGATTTTATATGCACGATCACACAGTCAACATCTGCCTCCCGTCCCCAGCCATTGGTTTCGGCTCAAAACCGTTTTAACCCAGAGTATTTTGTTACCAGGTCCCAAAGTGGTGTTTTCTCAACTCTCCCTTTTAAAGCCGCATTTCCCCCTGTGTGATCGCTCCTCCGGTGTCAAGCCACTTCTGGTTTAAACCCCCTCCCTGCTCGAAAGCTGCCCGAGGCATCCGCTTTTTGCCCACTTTTTTTGAGCATCGGTAGTGCACGCATAGGCGGAGCTCCGCTACCATGTTTAGAAAACCGACATTTAAACGGTCACTTGTTTTAGAGTTTGGATGAGTTCGGGATCTCATGGGGGCCATTTTTGTGTCAAATGTTTAAAGGGAGGTCTTTCGTTGGAGGGGTTGGATTGATTCGTCCTGGTGGTTCTGCGCATGTGCCATGGTAGTTTCGCCCCCTCATTCTACGGATGAGCACCTATGCACATGTGCAAACTGAGAATTTTTTTAAAAAAAACCCCGCCGACACATGCTCTTGCACGTCGGTAGTGTAGACGCCAGGGAGCAACGTCACTGCGCGGTGAGGCAGGATAAGGGTAAGTGTGATCGCAGTTATCCAGATAAAATATAATCCGGTCAGAACCAGAGCAGTTTAACCTGCTCTCAGCATGCTGTCTGACCGCATCCATACCCTCACAGGGTGCAGCAGTTTGAAACTTCTTCTCATGTATTTATTTATTTCTGTTATTTATAGTCCACCTTTCTCACAAGAACTCAAGGCAGATTACACATAGTGAGTCAGCAAAATGAACAAAATGAGATATTCAACAACAAATGTATTACAGTTTTAGAACTCTCGAACCACCAGAAAGAACTGAAGCGTAGCATAAGACACATTAGCATGAGACATTAAGCAGTACAGAAATTACATAAATAGGATACTACTTACAATATGCTATATACAGAAATATAGAAAACAGTCCCTAATCATTTATCCAAGCAAGTCTGTAAAACCATTTTGTACAGTGCAACCCTATTCCCTGCACAGAAAAGCCCTCCTCAACAGTTCAGTTTTGCACCGTTTGTAGAAAGCCAGGAAAGTGGCAGCTTTTCTGACCTCCTCAGGCATTGGTACACTTGTCATTTTTCTTGTAGAAAATGCAAATATTCATACTTTATAATTCCATAAGTAGTCCAAATAGTACAATTCTATATTCTAACTAAGTAATAAATGATGCCTTTTATGTTGTTTAGTCAGTAAAAGAATTTTAGGTCCTGCAGGA